ACTCAACACGAAGTCCTGCCCCAACCAGCCAACCCGCAGACAGACCTGGTTTGTGGAGCCGCAGGTAACCTGGGGCAGCTAGTGTAGTTGCGCAGGATTTCGGGAAGGGATGAGATAGCGTACCTGTACAACAGAGCCGCTTACTGTCTCTTTACTCTCCTCTTGCTTCTGATAGATATAATACGCACAAGTCCAGATTCCTAAAACACTACTGAGCGAATCTTTATAATACCACATCTAACGCTGCAAGACAGTTCACCTCAGGTCCCTAAACAAGATGCAGATCAGAGAGCGTCCACTTGTTTCTTTTATCGTGAAGAAGAGGCACCAGATCTTGCGGCACACTCAGTCACGTCCTTTAGCAGGAAGTGATATTGCTGACTTGATGATATTGCTGATGACGTTTTGATTAATTTGGTCCATCCTCTCTCCCAAGACTCCATCACAGTCAGCTGTTGTCCTAAAATCAACTTGCCCTTGTCTCGTTCCTTCAGGGCTTTGAACGATTGTCCCATCCCTGTTTCATTTACTAAAGACAAATGTTATGTTATGTTATGTTATAAGTTTTGTTTCTCATAACTCTTCCTCCCCCAGGTTTTCAGCAGTGACAAAGAGCCACAGATGACAAGCGAAGCAAATTCAGACTTGAGCATCGCTGATCTCAAATCGACCCAAGCCATCAACGAAGACTACCAGGACACGTCCTACGACCGCGGCCACTTGAACCCCTTTCTTTTCCAGTGTGACCAGGGCCGTACGGCCACCTTCACCCTCACCAACGCTGCTCCCATGGACCCCTGCTTCATCAGGGTGCGCTGGTACAAACTGGAGAAGGCGCTGAAGGATCAGCTGCAGAAAGAGTGCAACGATATTGAAGGTGACCCATACCTGATCACCGGCACAGTTCCGAGCCAGAACAGGAAAATCCCTGTTCAACATGAAGACGAGGAGGGAGACAGGACCCGGGACTACGACAGAGTGTCTGTGCCCAGTCACGTCTGGACAGCTGTGTGCTGTGACCATGCTGATAAGAACAGAACATTTTCGTTTGCTTTTCTGGGTAAAAATCAAGAGGAATCACAGCTGGAGCCCTTGTCAGTGGCAGAGCTGAATCTCAGACTCCCAGGTCTGTATGGAAGATCCAGAAGTATCAAACTCTTCGCTGATGACTGCAATGGCGATTCTGAAAAAAGTGGAAATATACTGGCATCAGTCAGGAGTAAAGTGCTTGATTCTTTTAAAGCCCAGATCACAGATGATGATTCCCAAATCATCCGAGAGACCAAGAGGGCCAAGCTTGACAAGGACAAACAAGGGATCATGCAGAGCAAGCACTTGAAGGAACAAAATCTTATCCTCCTTAGTGAGGGATACTACTATCGTTTTGACAGTTTGAGGGAATGGTTCAACACTATGTCCACACTGTACAGGGAAGACAAACTGGCTTGTGTGCTCAGTGCCCCCAGTGCTGTGTATAGGGAGGTGGCCCAGTCTGATGGAGGAGGTGCAACATGCTCTCTGACCAGAGACATCCAGGGCACCAGCAAGACTATCACAGCCAGTGGTTATCTCTGCAAAGCGTCTGATCAGTGTGGATATAAGGCCAATAGTTACTTCTGGTGCTACACAAATCAAGGTTACGATTACTGTTGTGTTAGTGAGTGCTCTCTGAAAGACTCACACTATCAGTGTTGGAATGGTAATAAAGATGTCCCCTGTTCCCCTCAGTACTCCACTGTTACTGTCAAGGGAACCCCATGTCGCCCCGATCAACAGTGTGCCAAGTATGGTAAAGACTATTACTGGTGCTACACTGATTACAAGAAAAACTGGGAATACTGCTGCTCCCCAACACACTACTGTGACGATCATGGTTACGGTTACCGCTGGTGTTACACAGATGACCCTCATTCCAAAAACCAAAAATGTTAACAAGCTTTTCTAATGGAGAGAGAGGTTACTGCACTGACACAATTCTGTCTACAAATTTACTATTTGTGTGAGATTAATGCACTAGCACAATTCTGTCTACAGTCAAATTCACTCTTTGTGTGAGATTAATGCACTAACACAATTCTGTCTAGTGATATTTACTCTTTGTGTGAGATTAATGCACTAACACAATTCTGTCTACAGTTACACTCTTCCTGTCTGCGTGAGGTTACTTCAATAACTCACTAACAGTGAATTGAGATGATTCTTCATACAGAAAACAAAAAGAACCAACACCCCAGCTGAACTGATCGTAATATCAACAAATGTGTGCGTGGTGGCCGGACATTCTCAGAAATGGCTTCGCCAATGACCTCTAGTTTAACAATTTCATATACATTGTATTTTCCACCAGTGACTGTCAGCTGTGTACCTGTTTCCTTGGAGTGATTCTGTACTTTTCATGTGGGGTGGCGGGGAGCCTTGTAGTTTGCCTCTCAATAAATCCTGTTCCTCGGTGATGCCAAACTCTGGTGTCTTCCTATAAGATATGTACATGTCCATTCATGTATTTCCACTCTGTGACAGGGGGCTGAGGGGCACGAGCACGTTACGAACCCAGAAGCACAGTGCAGGAATTATTATTCTTTATTCTTTAAGTTGTGAAAACCACCATTAATCATTGCAATCCTAAGTACCAACTGTGTCAGACCCATTACATCACAAACATAACTAATCATAACCATGCAGGAAAAGCACTCTTTAAAACCTTCATTTATTAATTAATTAACTTACTAATTAATATTCAGTCCACTGTATCAATTAAAGGCCAATTATGTCCTCTAGTGGCAGGTTGGCCACAAGCCTGCGCAATTAGAGAGCGCCAGTAATCATTTATTCTTTCCTGGCCAATCAAGAGTCCCCATTGATCATTTATTATCATCATGATTAGATATGACCAATCAGGAATCAGTATTTCTTACTCTCACCTGTCCAGTCAGGAATCAGTGTTTCTTACTCTCACCTGTCCAGTCAGGAAT